ACCTTGGAGAGCCGCCTCGTTCTCCTCCAGTTCTGTACGTAGACAACAAGGCCATGCTGGCCTTGTGTCGGGAGCACAGACTGGAGCACAGAACGAAGCACATTGCTCTTCGCTACTTCCTTGCTCGTGAGCTGCAGCAGCGTGGTCTGCTACGACTTGCTTACGTGGCCTCTCAGGCCAACACTGCTGATATCTTCACCAAGGCACTCGCGCCTTGTGATCATCAGCGCTTCTATAGTTTGTTAGGTCTTGTACCTACTTTGCCTCACTTGCTCACTTCTTGACCTTGCTTGTACTTGGACCTATATATACTTGCACTTGCATGTTTAGCTTTATATATATATGCTTGCATGTGAACTGGCCTTGTGGCCCTTGAACTTGTGCTCAGAATGTGTGGTGACGTTGGGATCCACCCTGAGCTTGCTGTGCTTTGCTTGACTGGTCTTGTGACCCCTTGCTCTCCCCCCACTTTGCCTATGGGGGTGTGTCGAACTTATATGCTATAGCCTTTCTAGACTGTAGTGGGGTAGACAGTATGGGGTACAGCTTTCTAGGGTTTCATATTTGTACCCAACTCATTTCCTAGTTCACCCATTCTCGTTCTAATTTTCACATTTTTTACAACTCACAACATAGTTTTAGTTTATTGTATGCCAAGTGAGCTCTCATAATAAAAAGCTAGTGTAAGGATTTCTCTCGATATTCCTTAGCGCATCCGGCAACATCGCGAACAGCAGCAGCCGTTGTTCGCCCGTTACAGCTAACGGGGCTTCGCCAACTTCGCACGAACTGTTTCACCAAACCATGCACCACTGGCCCGGCCTTTTCGACCTACGCTTCGGGACTAGCCCGAGCCTCGATGCCAGCCTAGCACCAGCCACAGCCTGATGAATACTGCCACATCACGAAAACTGAGACTGCCACTGGACAGATGCTTACTTTATATCGACGCAAGACTGGTTGACGGCACGCCACTGGCGATACGGGAACGCGTAGACCGGGTTCGGATTCGATGCGGAGGTAACTTCACATTTAGTCAAGAAATGCTCGCGACAACCCTCGACAGAACCGACATTTCACTCGGTCGTGATTGGCTGCGACGACATAATCCGCGAATAGACTGGACGACGGGTGACTGCACCGTGCGAGTGAACGGTAACAATATCGCCTTACCTCGCTGGGGCTCACCTGAGTCTTCGTCGGTGCGTGTCAACGCGATCACGATGAAACACGCCGTAGTGGCAGGAGCTGACGTGTACGCGGTTGACATTCGAGAAGTCGAGGCAGTAGACAAGGGGGGGGATTTACAGAAACTGCTAACCGACGTACCGGATGATTTGGCAGCACTCCTGAAGCGGTACAGTGGGATATTTCCGGATGACCTGCCGACGGGACTGCCACCTCAACGACCGCACGACCACAGGATAGAGTTAGAACCAGGGGCACAGCAGACAGTACAACGACAGTTCCGACTAACCCAGCCCGAACTGGACGAACTGAGGAAGCAGCTGGATTACCTGCTCAAGAAGGAGTTTATTCGCCCGAGTTCGTCACCCTTCGCAGCACCGATACTGTTCACACCGAAAAAGGACGAGGGTTTTCGCATGTGCATCGACTATCACGCACTGAAGAGGGTTACCATCAAATCCCGTCACCCCATCCCGCGAGCCGACGAACTGATCGACCAACTGCGAACAGCCCGGGTTTTCTCGAAAATCGACCTTCGGGGAGGCTACCACCAGATCGAGTCAACCCACCCGACTGCCCGAAAACAGCCTTCCGAACACGCTACGGATCCTTCGAATACACCGTCATGCCCTTCGGACTGACCAATGCCCCCGCCACTTTTAAGATGACCATGAACGAAGCCTTCCACCCCCTTTTAGATAAGTGCATCATCGTGTACCTTGACGACATACTGATTTACAGCCCAACACCTACAGGACATTGAAGCAGTTTTAAAAACACTGAGTGAAAACCGCCTACTAACTAAAGCCTCTAAGTGGGAGTTTTTACAGGACAGACTGGAGTTTTTGGGACACATCATTTCAGCTGAAGGAGTGGAAATAGACCCGAAAAAGATCGCGACGATTCAAGCGTGGCACGCGCCGACAAATTTGACTGAGCTGCAGAGTTTTTTGGGATTCGTCAACTACGTGCGACGGTTCGTCCCCGACATGGCGAAGTTGACTGCTCCGTTGACCGGCCTGCTGAGGAAGGGGGCTGAGTACACGTGGGGGGGAAAAGAGCAAGTTGCCTTCTCGGCCCTCAAACAAATTTTGTGATCGCCGCCCGTGCTTCACATCGCAGATCTGCACCGTCCGTTTGAGCTCGTCACCGACGCTAGTGACATCATCGTGGGAGCAGTACTGTTGCAGGATTTCGGGAACGGCCTCCAGCCAATCGCGTACGAGTCCTGCAAGCTTCACCCACCCGAACGCAACTACCCGATACACGACCGCGAGACGCTGGCGATCGTGCACGCGTTCAAGGTGTGGCGATGTTACCTCACGGGAGCAGACGTGACAGTACGGACAGACCACCGATCACTACAGTGCCTTCGCGCCCAACCGAATCTCAACCCGCGACAGATCCGCTGGTTGGACTATCTGGAGTCCAACTTCCACTACACATTCACGTACAAAAAAGGCGCATCAAGTATCGCCGACGCACTCACACGCCCCACAGCCCAACTCCACGCCATCCTACTCGCCCAAACCAACCCGCTGTTAACAGCCATATTCACCCACGAATACAGTACCGACCCATTTTTCACGACCGGAAATTTACAGCAATTGATAGAAGCTAAAGGAGTCTATTACGTAAAGACAGGCAACAACTGCCTCTGGGTACCCGCGTACTCACTACTGAGGGAACTGTTACTGCAAGAGGCACACGACAGAATTAGCTCGTGACATTTTGGGGTAGAAAAGACGCGACAGCAACTGCGGCGGTATTACTACTTGCTGGAGCTGTTGACCGACGTACTGCACCACGTGGGCTCGTGTCCTACGTGTCAGGTGATGAAGAGCTCGAGGAAGCGGAAGGCGGGTCAACTGCAGCTGATACCACCGCTCGAGCGCGCCTGGCAGCAGGTTACCATGGATTTCGTCACGGGGTAACCTTTGAACCTTGGGGGTAACGACGCGGTTATGGTCGTCGTTGGCAGGTTGACGAAGATGGCACACTTTGTTGCGCGCAAAAAGTCGATCTCAGCCGAAGAAACCGCTTGCCTGTTCATCGCAGCCGTCTTTCGACTACACGGGATACCAGCCGCGATAATCAGCAACCGCGACACGAAGTTCACCAGCAATTTCTGGAAGAACCTTTGGGAGCAGTTCGGGACCAGGCTACAGTTCAGCTCATCGTATCACCCCGAGACCGATGGTCAAACGGAACGGACGAACCAGAAAATGGAGCAGTTGATTTGAGCCACGTGCGACGACCCGACAACTTGGGAGTAGCAGCTGCCGCTGATCGAGTTCGCGTACAGAACAACGCCACGTCAGCGACGACGCAACAATCCCCGTTTTACCTGAACTACGGGCGAAACCCTATAGTGCCCATGACGCCGAGTCCGGACAACCCCACACCACGTACACAGCAATTCGCCGAGATTCTGCAGGCTGCCCAAACCAGAGCCGCGTAAGCAATCAAAAAAGCAAATGTCATCGCCAAACGCAACGCTGACCGCCACCGCCGCCCAGTCACGTACTAGTCAGGAGATTACGTACTGCTCGACACACAGAACTTAAGACTGCCCGTCGTACCAAAATTATGACCACGCTACTGTGGACCATTCCAAATCAGCCACATGATCACCCCAGTGACTGCCCACTTACTGTTGCCGACAGACTGGTACATCAGCCCATCATTCCACGTCAGCCTGCTTCGCCCCTACATCCCAACCCCAAGCCAACTGCCTCGTCTCTGCCTGCCATCCATGACTCGCCTTGCATCGGAGCCGATAATCGAGCCTGAGAAGATCCTCAGCCATCGGATTCGACACCCCACGGGAATCAGGAGGATCGAGTTTCTCGTTCGCAGGAAGGATCGCACGCCAACTGAGTATAGCTGGGTGCCCCTTACCAACATCGAAAACCACCCTGCCCTGCAAATGTACCAGAGGAGCCGGGGTTTCCGCGATATACACGCACTCGCGTAGCGGAGGGAGCTTCTTGAGGGGGTGGGTAGTGTAAGGATTTTTCTCGATATTCCTTGGCGCATCCGACAACATCGCGTACAGAAGCAGCCGTTGTTCGCCCATTACAGCTAACGGGGCTTCGCCGACTTCGCGCGCACTGTTTCACCAAACCATGCACCGCTGGCCCGGCCGTGTCGGCCTACGCTTCGGGACTAGCCTGAGCCTCGATGCCAGCCTAGCACTAGCTAGCTCGCACGCACCGCGTTACCGTTTGCATGTTTCGCGTATAAATGTTCGCTTATGCCTTTGCTCACATTTTGTACTCGTTTGACACTTAGTGCAATCCTCGCTTCCTCAATTCATTGCACCCGTAACAGCTTGCCACAAAAGGAACTATCGCGAACATTCTCCGCGAACACGGCACCCGTCTTGAGTGCCATTTCCTTCCCCTCCATCCTAACACTGATTAGTTGATCCTGACTTCTGCAAGCTTCGGTATTTTTTAGTAAATCTTGGTTGCGTCCCCATCCCTAAGAAATTTGTTCCGGCCGTGCGCTGATAGCGACAATCTGAGCTTCGTTCTTTTTCGACCTGTCGAAGGTAGATCTATTTCTTGGACGCATCCTCTTCATCATAAACGTCTTTCACATTCCAATGTCGGCTACCCTAATTTGCTGTCGTTGTACAAAGCAGTCACGCATGATTCTCGTTCCGTCCAGCCATTTAGGGTTCCGCTGTCCACAAGCACGCTCCGTCCCTTCTCCTTGATTGTGATCCTCTTATCTGCTCCCTCTCCCTTCAGAGTGCTTCTCGATCGGATCAGTCTTCGTTGCAGCCGTCGTGCGACGTCGCCGCGATGGCCACGCCTAAGAGTGGTTTCGTCGTGAGCGGCAAGGCAATCGAGGACATGAAAGTTACAGAGCTCAAGAGCGTGCTAAAGCGTCACAATTTGCCGCTGTCGGGCGTTAAGCGAGATCTGGCGGAACGGCTTCGGGTGCATCTACTCCAACAGCAACAGCAGGAAGCGGACCAGAAGGTGGCTGATGTGCAACAGCAGCAGCAGCAAGAGGAGAAAGCGAAGGAGGGGAAAGCACAAGAGAGCGATTCAGGCTCAGACGTGCAGGAGGCGCCGATTGAGGCCGAAGAGACGGCCAAGGGCGGGGCAGCGGCAGGGGAGGATAGCAGGGCGAGCAAGGGAGGCGGCGATGGTGATAAAGGTGACGAGGTGACTCCAGTGGTGCTTTTCCAGGAAGAGAAGGAGGGTAAAGAGGGGAAGGACGGGAAAGGAGGGAAAGAGGGGAAAGAGGATAAGGAGGGTAAAGGAGACGATGATAAGGTTGAGCATGAGGAGCGGGAGCGGCAGGGGAAGGAGGGAGGTCAGCAGGGCGAGGAGGATAAGCCAACGGGATCGGATCGAGGTTCAGAAGAGGTAAGGGCCGCTGATGCTGCTACTGATGGAGGTGGTGAGAGGAGCGCGGCGGCTGCTGCTGCCGCTGCTGCTGCGGGTGGTGCTGCTGCCGCTGCTGTTGGTGATAGTGATGGTGATGGGGATGGTGGAGGTTCCGTTGCTGCTTCTGCTGCGGAGGGCAAGAGGGAGGAAACCGAAGTGGCTGCAACGACGTCGAAAGGGGACGACCAGGTAATGTCTGATGGGTACGCCGAGGGGATGGCTGATACGGGTAAGGGGGATAGTGCGGGGTTAGGTTCTGCATTAGATGCTCCTGCTGATGCCACCGCCACTGCTGCTGCTCCTGCTCCTGCTGCTGCCGCTCCTCCTCCTGCTTCCCCTCCTGCTGCTCCCCCTGCTGCTGCATCTGTTCCTTCCGTAGCTGCGCCTGCTGCCGCTGCGGATACCGCCCCTGCCGGCACTGCTGCCACATCTGACGGCCCTGGGGCGCCGGGATCTGGGGTAGGTGCATCTGAGGAGGCCGGAAACGACAAAGGAACCGTCGGATCTGAAGCCGAGGGCATATCGACGGCGCAGGAGGAACCGGGGAAGGCGGAGAAAGGGGGCGACGAAGGGACGCGGGGGGAGGGGAGGAAGGAGGAGGAGCAGAGGGATGGTATGGACGTTGACGGAACGGAAGGGAGAGGGAACGGTGAGAAGGCGGAGGAGGGAGAGAAGGCTGGGCGACAGGCAGAGAAGGACATTGAAATGAAGGACGAGGCTAGCAACGATGAGAGGAATGAAGAGAGGAATGAGGAGAAGAGTGTGAAGAGTGAGGGGAAGAATGAGGAGAAGAGTGAAAGGAAGGGTGATGAGAAGAGCGAGGAGAGAACGGCTCGCGAGGAAAGGAGGAGTGACGGAAAAGGGACGGATCGCGAGAAAGACGAAGAGATGAGAGACGAGGAGGGCAAGGAGGAGGAGGGGAAAGAGGAGGAGGGACGTGACCTGATGATAGAGGCGGATACCGATCTCGTGGGGGAGCTAGAAGCGGAAGCGGAAGAGGCGGAGGCGGAAGCGGGGGCGCTCGCAAAGCAAGGGCGTGGACTTAGGCGCGGGGGTGCCGCGCTGGCGGAAAGGAAATCGGGGAAAGATGGGGGGTCGCGGAGAGAGGAAAGCGTCGCGGCGGAGAAGCGGGGGCGGGCGGGGGATGTCATACGCGCGGGGGTTAGTGGGGCGGACGGGAAGAGAGAGCGCGCAGGGGAGGATGTGGCGGTTGTAGCGCGGAGGAGGGAGGAGCGACCGTCAGGCGGGGGTGGTGAGTGGCATGGCGGATGAATGGGGGGGGAGGTGGTGGCTAATGTGGGGGGGAGTGGGGTCTTTAAGGATGGTGCGGTGTGTGTATGCGGGGGTGCTTGTGCGCGCCACTTGTGCTATGCGGGTTGGACATTATATTGTGTGTGTGACTGAGCTCTGTTGATATTTTTTGCGTGTTCGGCCCTAAACCCGAAACCTCAAACCTCGTCTCCTCTCGCCCCAGTTCCCACCATCCCATCCCTGTCTTCCTCCTCCCACGCTCCTCCCCTCCCCCCTCTCCCCTTTCTTTCCTCCCCGTTCTCGCCCCTCCTCCTCCCCCTCCCGATTCCCCGCCCCCTTCCCCCCATCCCACGTTCTTCGCTCCCCCCCCCTCTCCCTCCCCCCGCATCAGCGGAGGAGTCCCCCCGCCCCCCTGACGCCAAGCGCCTGCGCAGATGGAACGCGCCCAAGACATCCCCGCCTGCCCCCGCCGCCACTGCTGCCACCGCTGCTCCTACCACTGGTACCACTCCTGCCCCAGCGTCAGCTGGTGGCGTGGGGGAAACAGGCAAGGCAACTGGAACGGGTGTGCTGGCACCAGCGTCTGCTGCACCAGCCAAGGCAGCAGAGGCAGGAGACGGAGCAGCAGCGGCAGGAGGAGCAGGTGGGAAGGCGGGTTCTGGGGCAGGTGGTTCTGACGGCGCAGCAGGAGCAAGGGCTGTGCCAGGGGGAGGTTTGACTCGCAGCGGCAGCGATGGGAAAGGGGGTGCTGTGGCTGCGGGCACTGCTGCTGCCGCCGCCGCCGCTGCTGGTGCTGCTGCTGGTGGTAACCGTGTGGTGAAGTCGCTCAGTGGGCGCGGCAGCGGGCGATTGGTTGGGGCTGGAGCGAGGGAGGCAGCGCAAGAGAAAGAAGATGGTATCGTACCTCGTGCTTCTACCCTCGTTGCATGTGCTGTTCATTCTCAAGCCTCGATTCTTGGATCCTCCATCCTCGCCCTGCCTCTTCTCGCCCTGCCTCTTCTCGCTCTCCCCCTCGTCGTTTGCTCCATCCCCCTCGCACACTTGTTTATTTACCACCCCACTGGAAAGGTAGTTCCCCTTTTGCTTAGCCTCTCTCAACGCTTTGGGGTTTTGCTGAGTCATCAAACTCTAAAAGCCAATGCTGGCCTCCTTAGCAATGGTTCCTACCGAATCAATTCCTGGGGCAATCAGGTAATGCCAATGACTGTTTGCAGTCGTTCAATCGAGCAAACGTTGCCGGCCAGGAAGAAAGTTCATTCTTAAGGTTGTCATTGTATACGTAACGGGGCATGAGTCTCGTTTCATACAGTATTCTGTGTGAGTAACATTTTCCGCTCCAACATCCAGTGGGTCAGATTGTGAAGTTTTTGGGGTGTATGTATGGCAAACACGACTAGGGATGCCCCGGCCCATTACTAAAAATACAGCAACACACAATCGATCTTTTACCCTCGCCCTTCCCTCCCCTCTCCCTTTCCTGCCGGCATTGCCGCCCCACAGGTCCCACTGTGTGTGTATGTGTGCTATTGGATGTCAGCGCCCCCTCCATTGGTGGCAGTGAAGGAGCCGTTGCCCACAGACAGAGTCCACTCAAAAGTCCAACTTTCTGTCCTCTCTCCCTTCCCTTGCGGGCTTTGCCGCCCCACTGATTGATGGCATGTTGTGTGTGTGTGTGTGTGTGTGTGTGTGTGTGTGTGTGTGTGTGTGTGTGTGTGTGTGTGTGTGTGTGTGTGTGTGTGTGTGTGTGTGTGTGTGAGATTGGTTGGCACGGTGTGTGTGCGTGTGTGTGAGCATGGCAGCGCCCCCGCCAGTGGAGCCGGTGACGGAGTCGCTGCGCATAGACAACTTTGTGCGCCCCTTCACGCAGCAGCAGGTCAAGGACCTGCTCGCAAACAACGGCCGCTCGCTGCTGCACTACTGGATGGACGGCATCCGCACCCACTGCTACGTCTCCGTGCGTCTCCTATCCACCCCAATTCCTCCCCGCCTCCCTGCCTCTCTGCTTTCCATCCAGTTGCTCTGCCCCCCTGCCTTCCTGCATCATCCTTGCCCTTGGCAACCTCTTGCCGTTAGTGTCATTTCCTATTGCTGCCTAGTTGTTTTGGCCAACCTCTTGCCACTCTCCAGAAACGACCTTGGTTTTCACAGTTTCTGTTCTGCACTTCCGTGCTCTGCTTCTATCCTCCACCACTCCCCACTTGCCGCCATTCTTTCACTATGTTTCTCCAGTCCCATTCTCCACCCCTTCTGTTCCCCGTCTCCAACCTTATCCTCTCACCCAAAAACCGCACCTCGCTCCACAGTTTGCATCAGTGGAAGAGGCAAAGGCAGCGCGGTCAGAGGTGTGGGGGTTGCGCTTTCCGTTGAGGGGAGGCAACTTGCTCACAGCCAGATTCGTGTCCAAAGAGGAGGTCCTGGCACGGGTTAACGGCCTTCCCATTCCTCCTCCTGCTGCTGCTCCTGCTGCCGCTGCGGCTGGTGCGGCTGCCAATTCCGCTGCTCCTGCTGTGGCTGCTGCTGCTGTGGATGTCAAAGCGTGTGCGGCTAGCGCTGCTGGCGCTGGGAAGGAGAAGCCAGGAGCAAAGGGGACAGAAGCTCCCCCTGCTGCTGAGAGTGAGTCATATACAGGTCAAGCAGAAACCCTTGTGGCTCTTTAACAGTTCTCATGTTTTGCGTGTTAGGGCTTTCTTGGAATCATTCCTTCTTTTCATTAACTTTCCATGACCTCTGTCTCTTGTCAGTGTGATTTCTCTCACGAGTTCTCGCCACTTGCTTGTGTCTTGTTCCGTGCACCCCTCCCGTCCCATCAGCCAAGGCAGCAGCGCCCCCAGCAGCAACATCTGCGCAAGATAGGGCTGAAAAGGCAGCAAAAGCAGCCACAGCAGGCACAGCGAGCACGAGTGAGAGGAGAGCAGGGCCAGGCGGTTCTGGGGCAGCAGCAGCCCCTACCTCCGGTTCCGCTGCCGCAGCAGCCGCGGCGGCGGCAGCTGCAGCAGCAATGGCAGGCGTGGGTGCAGTGGCAGCTGCTGCAGCGGCAGCAGCGAGGAAGGCAGCAGAGGCAGAGCCGGACCCGTTGCCATCGCTGGATGACTTGTTTCGGAGGACCAAGGCCAAGCCGCAGATCTACTTCCTGCCTCTCACAGACGAACAAGTGGCTGCGAAGCTCGCTGTGGCCAATCAGAGGAAGCTGGCTGCAGCTGGTGCTGCTGGGGCGGCCCCCCCTGCTGCTGCTGCTGCTGGTGGTGGTGTGGCAGCAGCTTCTGGTTCTGGCAGGACTGCTGCTGCTCCTGGTGGCAGTGATGCTGTGGCGAATGGCGCTACCGGCATTGGGATGGAGGAAGCAGGGAATGCAACTGCTGTGAGAGCACGGGGGTGAGATGAGGGAGCGAGCCCCGTTGACAATGTTTGTTTCATAGGGCGGTGCGGAGATCTGTGTGACGCGTCACCCAGTCATGAGCAGAAATTTGTTTTGCTCGTGTCGTGTGCAGTGCCACACGTGCATCTGTGTATCTGTACGAGCCCTTTGCCTTGCTTGCTCCTCTTCTCTTCCCACACACTATTTCAAGTATCTTGTGTGGTTCAGGGATGCAGCAGGAGCACATAGGGTACCGTATGTCAGTGACATGTCTTGTGTGCTCTGTGTAAAACCCACCATGGTCCACCACCACTTCGGCTCCACTATACTGCCAAAGTGTTGACACTACTAAAGTGACTTGGTTTTTCTGTTTACTATAACTCTGCATGAACGCCTCTGCCTGAGACTTGCGAGTAGAATTTTCAACTACTTGGATGAGGCTGCATATTTGTTCCACGGTTTGTAACAACCACTATCCTCCTGTACATGGTTAAGGGTTATCGCCGTGAATCTTGATCAACAGTCTTGAGGAGCCTAGATTGGTGAATTAATTTAAGTTTTTTTTTGGAATCACACTATCCGGTATTCCAGTTTCAAATACAAGCATTCTTTAATTTATGTTTCACTCTTTGCTCTTACGGCCCTCTAATGGATATGGTAATGTTCAAACCTTTGCAGCAGATCAACGGTAGTGAGGATCCTTATCTCCGGCTCATCGGTTCAACACCCAACCGAACCGCTATTCTGTGGCGAATAAGAACTGTGGTTGCGGAGAAATCCCGCCGAGGATGAAGGTGGAAGCGGAAGCCTCGCTGACTTACTACTGTTCAAAGCTGGCATTGGTTGGTCGCACGCTTTTGCCACTCGTGATGAGTGGCTCCCCCAATTGCTCAAGAGGGCCGCTTCGGCTCCGAGAACCCAAGCCGCGGTGCGGGGCGCTTGAGGCAGCCTTTGATGCACACTTGCTCGCATGTGGCTACGTGGTGTCTAGCTTTCGTGAAATGTGTGTCGTTTTATTCGTTACAATGTCGCCGTACTCTGTTTCAGAGAATCTGACCATTGAACTAATTAGAGCAGCTCTCGCAAATGTCTTCTGTCCCACGATTGATACACAGGGTATCTATCGTCTCTTCGCCAGCCTTATGGGTTGTCGAATCGCTTACTCTTCGCGGCTCGGTTTGCGATCCGAGGGGGAGCAGCTGGCATTGACCCAACACAATTCCTCTGTGGACTCCCACCCTCCTGCCTTGCTTCGTCCATGTGGTTTGGGGTTTCTGCATGGCCTTGCTTCCTCCTAATCCCTTCCCTCTGTCCCTCACCTCGCCTCGCTGCTCTCCACTGACCTTGCGCCTAAGAAAACCATCAGCTACTACGCTGTCTCCCCTCAAAACTCTTCTGCAAAACAAGAATTTTCGTGTCACTTCACACTCCTGCCTAGAATACACGGCTGTTTTCTTGCTCTCAACTATCATCCTTCCTCAGCGGTCGGCTTTAGAAAGACTACTAGGCTCAGTGCAGTTTCTGCCTAATATTTCAATTCATTCATTGACACTTTGGTGGCCGGTTTTCGGAGCCCCAATATACCTCTAGAATTGCGTGAAGGACCCAGAAAGACGCTAAGAAGGTCCGCATATTCGAAGGTGCCTGACGTAATTGGCTCATCGTCACAGTTTTGCCCACTTGGCCGCCTTACCTTCCTTCACAATCCCCTCTTAGAGAAATCTCGGAGCATGTTTTCAGCCCCAGAAACCCGTTTCATATTGCGGGATTAGCACGTTATCGGTAGTGACACGGCGGCCGCCTTCCTTCCTCCTCCTGACACCCAGAAAGGGTTAATTATCTCTCTCCTCCAATCTAGCCCTGCTAATTGGTTTCCGTGTCTCACCAGCACCCATTGGTTTGAATCCTGAACGCGACATGGATCCGCTCGATCAAGGCTCCGACCCGGCGATACCAGCGAGAGGGAGCAGACCTGGTAGCCGCGGGGGGAGCCGGCCTGGCAGTCGTCCCGGCAGTCGTCCGGGTAGCCGGCCCGGCAGCTTAAGCGGCAGCCCGCGCCACTCACGGAGCCGATCCAGCGTGTCTATTGGAAGCGACAGCTATGGCACGCCTGACGGCTCTCCAACATCTTCTTCCGCCGCGGCGTCGCATCGCGCGATAATCAGCCCAGAGCGCCGACGAGGCGCAATTGCGCGCGACACGGGCCATGCCATGGCGGGGAGTTCACGTCCCTCGTCGTCCGCGTCTTCGCGCCACGCACGGCTGGACCGACCGCCGCCACTGGTGCGACCAATCAACGACCCAGAGGGGCCTGACGTGGAACTGGAGAGCCCCACGTCAGACGACGAAATCACCGATGCGGACCTGATTGCCTACTCTTCCGGCCCGCGACCGCTGCAGCCAACTACCTCGGGAATACCGTCGTCTCCGCCTCCTCTTCTCGCCGACCCGCCCATCGTACCCGGCGGCGATTATTTCTTCGGCCGGCCCAGCTCTATCAGTTCAGCAGGCGGAGGCTCGGCTTCTGGCGGTGGGGGTCTTAAGTTCCCCCCGTTGAGCGGGCGCGGAGGACGGCCGGGAGCGAACAAGCCAACGCTCGTCATCCCGCCTGTGATGATCGACGGTGTGACGGTCCCGTCGCCCTCGCCGCAAGAAGCGTCGCCCGACCCGGAAGATATGGCTCCGTCGCCCGCGCCGCTCTTCCACTGGCCGTTCGCGACCAACATGCCGATCATCTCGCCAGGTTTCACGCATCAATCCGCGCAACAGCAGGCCCCCGGTTCCGCCGGGTTCACTCGCGGTGCGGCAACGCGCGCGGACGCGCTTGCGGCGGCCGCCGCCATTGTCGCAGGACTCGGGGACGACACGATCGAAGGCGGGGGACCCATCGCTGCGCCGCCAACGCTTCCGCGGACGCTGTCGCGGGAAATGTCGCGCGAGCTTTCACGCGGACTGTCCCGCAGCGGCGGCGGCGGCGGAGGCGGCGGCGGCGGGATGGGGGAAATGGGCGGAGGGCTGCAGCGGCAGCTTTCGCGTGCGCTATCGACGGAACTCTGGGATATTCCTCTTTCCACGGTGCCATCAATCTTCTTCTCCGCCACTCCCCGCCGCCAAGCGCCCCCGCCGCCGCCAGTGAACATAGGCGCGACAGTGGTGGCTGACAGCAGCAAGGCGCAAGTGAGTAGCGCACTCCGCGGAGTCCGGTTACCACCCTGCTGTCAGCCCGTGTGAACTGTTCCAGACTCTGTCGCTTCTCAGCATCCTTTCCTCCGGTTCCCGCTTCCTCTCCTTCAATCCTCATCCCCCGTTCTCCTTCTATCACCCTCTCGACCCCTCGACTGCATGAGCAGAATAATTGGTCCGTGACGCTCTGCGGCTCGTGCGGGCGTCACTCCACGTGTCTGTGCGTGGAGGCCGTGCTGTGCCCGTGCATCACGGTGGGCCGAGTCGCAGTCGCCGTCGATCCCGCCTCCTACTCGCACTGCGGAGCGTCCACGTGCTTCTCGCTGCTCTCCTGTATCTTCTCCTGCCATGTGCGTGTGCTCTACATCGTCTCCGCCTCACTTCCTCCCCCCTCCTATTCCTTCCTCTTCCTTCCTCCTCCTTCCCCTTCCTTCCTAACCTGTCTAATCCTCCCTTCTTCTGTCTCCTCTACTCTTCTCCCCCTTGTTCTTTCTCCGCTTTACCCCCTCTAACCTCCCATCGCCCCCTCCCTTCTCTCGGCACTTGTCTGTTCCAATCTCTCTCGTTCTGCCACTCCGTATTTCCCTCATCCTCCCCCGTCACTCCATCCGTTTCCCCCTCGCTCCCTTCCGTCCCTTCTGCCTTCCCCCCTTAACCTCTTCCCCTCTTCCGCCGCTCCGTTTCCTATTTTCCTCTTCCCCCTGCCTTCCGTCCTTCCCCTGCGCGCGCACAGCTCTACTCCGCGACCCTGCGCAACAAGGTGCGGGCCAAGTACGCCATACAGGGCTCCGCGTGCGGGGACTGCTGCGCGCACTGCTGCTGCCACGCCTGCGCGCTCATGCAGGAGCTTCACGAGCTACAGGTGCGCCCCCCCGCATCCCCCGCACCCACTCCCGCGTCCTTGGATGCTTGTATGCCGCTCACTGGATGCTTCTCTGTCGCGCAGTCAGATAGACCTCCGAGCCCGTTCAGCTCATTCCGCCTGTTTCATCTCGTTCTACATCACAGTCCTCCTCCTACAGGCTGCTCTCCTGATACGTCCATGCCAGCATGTTCTTGCATGTGCTTACAGGTGTCTCCATCTGTCTCGTGTGTGTGAATTGCCCGCACTATTCCCTTCTGAATTCCATCCATCCATTTCTCCTCGTCCAGCAGAGAGACATCCGGCCGGCCAATTGCTAACATAAACTCATGTGTCTTTAGCATCTGTCCCTCCCTTCATGTACTTTCCCTGTGCTATGGAGACTCGCTGATGACTCTTTCATGTACTGGCCTCCCAGATTCTCTCTGTCACTGTCCTAACTACCCTCCTATTCTCCCTTCTGTGCGTTTCTGCCCTCTCTCTTCCTTGCCTCCCCCTCCCACGCACCCGTTCACTTCCTCCCTCATCACTTCCTCCCTCATCACTTCCTCCCTCATCACTTGCTCCCAACCAATCCGTCTCTCTCTGCTCTTCTTCCGACAACCATGTCTCTGCCTCAACCTCTCTGCCTCAACCTCTCTGCCTCAACCTCTCTGCCTCAACCTCTCTGCCTCAACCTCTCTGCCTCAACCTCTCTGCCTCAACCTCTCTGCCTCTCACTCTTGTCACTCTTTTTGTTCTGCCTCACTCCCTGTTCACTCCTCACTCTCCGCTTACATCTCAACCCATTGTGTCTCTCGGCCTCTTTGCTTCTTATTTTCTCTGTCTCTCTCTCCTCTGTTTTCACTCTCCTCGTATTTCTCAACCTCATTGTTGCTCTCTTTGCTTCTCGTCGTCTCTCTCTCTCTGTTCTCACCCTCTCTCTCTTTGATCCTCACCCTCTCTCTCTTTGATTCTCACCCTCTCTCTCTTTGATTCTCACCACTCTCTTTGATTCTCACCTCTCTCTTTGATTCTCACCTCTCTCTTTGCTTCTCACCCCTCTCTCTTTGATTCTCACCCCTCTCTCTTTGCTTCTCACCCCTCTCTCTTTGCTTCTCACCCCTCTCTCTTTGCTTCTCACCCCTCTCTCTTTGCTTCTCACCCCTCTCTCTTTGCTTCTCACCCCTCTCTCTTTGCTTCTCACCCCTCTCTCTTTGTTTCTCACCCACTCTCTCTCTGCTTCTCACCCACTCTCTCTCTCTGCCTCTCACCCCTCTCTTTGTTTCTCACCCACTCTCTCTCTGCCTCCCACCCTCTCTCTCTCTCTCTCTGCCTCCCACCCTCTCTCTCTCTCTGCCTCTCACCCCCTCTCTCTCTTCTCACCCTCTCTCTCTCTCTTTCTCGCCCTCTTTCTCTCTCTTTCTCGCCCTCTTTCTCTCTTCTTCTCGCCCTCTCTCTCTCTTCTTCTCGCCCTCTCTCTCTCTCTCTTCTCGCCCTCTCTCTCTCTCTTCTTCTCGCCCTCTCTCTCTCTCTCTTCTTCTCGCCCTCTCTCTCTCTCTTCTCGCCCTCTCTCTCTCTCTCTTCTCGCCCTCTCTCTCTCTCTTCTTCTCGCCCTCTCTCTCTCTCTCTTCTTCTCGCCCTCTCTCTCTCTCTCTTCTTCTCGCCCTCTCTCTCTCTCTCTTCTTCTCGCCCTCTCTCTCTCTCTCTCTCTTCTCGCCCTCTCTCTCTCTCTCTCTTCTTCTCGCCCTCTCTCTCTCTCTCTCTTCTTCTCGCCCTCTCTCTCTCTCTTCTTCTCGCCCTCTCTCTCTCTCTTCTCGCCCTCTCTCTCTCTCTCTTATTCTCGCCCTCTCTCTCTCTCTTCTTCTCGCCCTCTCCCTCTCTCTGCTTCTCGCCCTCTCTCTGCTTCCACCCTCTCTCTCTCTCATTGTCTCCCTCTCTCTCCTTCTCTCCCTCTGTCTCTCTGAATCTCGCCCTCCTCTCTGTTTTGCTTCTCACTTTTTATTTTTGCTCTCACCCTCAATTCCGGGCCCTCTCGTTTCGCCTTACCCTCTTCAACATTTTCTAATCGCCACTCCCTGATTTGCATTGCTGCTTCCACTTTGTCTCTTGGACCTCACCCTTAATACCTACGCTGCTGTACCTGGATTTTCCATCCCGATACCTCCGTGGCATCGTCCGGTTTTTGTTTGGCTGCTGCTCTCCACGCTCCTCCATCCCTCCCTGTGTGCTGTTTTCTCTCCTTTCCTTCTTTCTTTCTCTATCTCGTCTTCCCTAATAAATATATAATATCATTCTCTCCTGCTCCTACTCCCTTTCCCTCAATGTCTTATTCCTTGGGATTCCGAAATGATCACCTGCGCTCTGTTTCTCGTTTTCCCTTCTCTTCCTACAACTCTACCCTTCCTCTTGTTCCACTGATCTTACTCGCTGGTGGATCCTCAATCTTCGTTGTCTACACATTATTTTATTATTTCCTCCTTCACTCGCACACGTCACATGTTCTGTGCACGTGTTTCTTCGCACCACTCGCCTCTACTGCTCCTCTCTTCTGTTGCTTCGCTCTCCTCTGTTCTCCTTCCGCCCCTTTTCTTTGCCCTCTCTCTCTCTCTCCTCTCTTGTTGTATCCTCCGCTCCCCATTCTTTTCTTTTCCCCTTCCCCTTCTCCTTCGCCTTCCCTTCCCCTTCTCCTCCCCCCTCCCCCTCACTCTCCACCCTGCTCTCCACTCCGACCTCTACCTCCCCTTCCCCTCCTCCTTTCCTTCTGTATCTCCTTTCCCCTTCTGTTCCTCCCCTCCCTCTCCCCTCCCTCCCCCTTCCTGCGCTGCTCCCCCTCTGCTACCCCCTCCACCTACATCCACGCGCACCATCCATCACCACGTGTCACCACATGTCACCTCATGTCACACACGAGCAGGTGCACGGAGATGCGCCCTTCCAAGGAGGCAATTCCAAGAAAGTGGCGCCAGTTGAGCAGACCATGTGCCGAGTCACCTCCATCCCCGGCTGATCCCACCACACCTCACGCATCACCTCTGCAATCCTCTCCCCATCCCATACTCCTCCTCTTCCTCCTACTACTAGCCCCCCTCCTCCTCCTCCTCCTCCTCCTCCTCCTCCTCCTCCTCCTCCTCCTCCTCCTCCTCCTCCTCCTCCTCCTCCTCCTCCTCCTATCCTAACCTGCCATCTCCTTGCTACCACCATGGAAATCACTGGTCCGTCCAGATGAAACCACCAGCACCTTCCCCCCCCCCCCCCTCACCCCATCCCAGCCTGAGACTCTCTAACATCCTACTCCTAGTCACCCGCCCCTGCCTCAAGCAGTCTCCTCTCTCACTCTTGTACTCTATAGCCCTGCAAGTGGGTTCTGAAGAAGCGGCTCGCCGGGGCAGCAGGCAGCAGCAGCAGCAGCAGCAGCTGTGCAGGGCACGGACCAAGTTGAAAAGGAAGGCGTTCTGGTGGACTTTCAGGGGAGAGCACCAGCACTCTTCTGCTGCGGCTGTTGCCCCAAAATAAGCTCTAGTACGAGCCTCTGCCGGAAACACCAAGCCCCTTCTTCCGTTGCTTTCCTCCCAGCCTAGGGTTTGTTCGCCTTTTAGGTGTCACGACATTGTGGCATGGTTTCTAGATTTTGCAAAAGCCTTGGGTTATGTATGGTGACTATCTGGAAAAAAGGTATTTTGCACGACTGTAATTTCCGGCTTTCGATCTCGGTGGAGTTGGTCTATTCATCTAGCAACTAAGGAGGGTGTATCGTACCTGTCCAGTGAAAGAAACAATAAAAGAGCAAATACCGTAAGTCTGCAGTACATCAGTATAAACTGAAATCCGAATACAAAGTTCTGATGAATGGAAAACAAACTACGGTAGTTTAACACGGGTGTAGTAATATCAGATCACGCTGTAACATATAGATGCTGGAGGAAACGAATCCTCCAACTCCCTATGAGAGCTGACTCATTCGACTGCCAACGTTTTGGTGTGCACGTCGGTGAAAGATACACGTCACACCAGATCTTATCATCTGATTGGCGAGAGCAGGGTTTTTTTTCCGATTTGTACAATACACACACAGGAGGAAACCAGGGTACTTCAGGCACGTAACAAAAGGGTTTGATTATCACCATACATTCATTGTGCTTATGCAGAAGATACAAAAATCAATTGAATCACACCCATAATCACCGACAGATCGAGTGCCACCTGCGAAAGAACCAGCAGCACCAAACTCGCGGATGTGACCAGATTCAAGAGTGCCTGCAATGCAGTGGCGTGCACCACACGCCTCCACTCCCCATCATCTCTGCTCTGCAGATGCCATGCCGCACCATGGCATGGTTATGGGGCACAACGAAGGGGCGAGTGCAGGGAAAAGGTGTGCCACTCTCACCATCCCCGCCACACTCCCCACTTCTACCCTCCCCCACTCCCCCCTTCTCTCCTCGCACCCCTCAGCTCCCCTTACCAGCTGATCACCATCCTGTTAGTCTACCACCTGCCCCTCCAGCCCTCCCCGCCAACTCCCCTTCCTCCCCTCCCCGTCATGGCTGGAGCCACAATCTCTAAGAGGCTGGCGAAGCGAGCCTTCACACACTGCTTCTGGAATGAGCGTTGGATCGCTGTCTCCCCTGCCTCATGGCCTCTCAACCGCCGCCTGACTAGCTCCATGCCATGCCAAGGCCGCCACTGTCCCCATGCCATGGCAGAGCTGTCACTGTCCCCATGCCATGGCAGAGCTGTCACTGTCCCCATGCCATGGCAGAGCTGTCACTGTCCCCATGCCATGGCAGAGCTGTCACTGTCCCCATGCCATGGCAGGTCAAGGGATTATAACCCCATTTCCTTCCACACTAATGCCCCAAAACTGTCAGCCTCTTTCCTTCTCAATCACTCACCCAAGGGAGGTCCCTTGGGTCTCACGCACCCAACACATGGGCTTCATCCCCTTCCCTCTCACTCACCTACCCAAAGGGTTTCATCCCCTTCTCATTCACCTATTCCAGAGGGTTTCACCCCCTTTTCTCTCACTCACCTACCCAAAGGGTTTCATCCCCTTCTCATTCACCTATTCCAGAGGGTTTCACCCCCTTTTCTCTCACTCACCTACCCAAAGGGTTTCATCCCCTTCTCATTCACCTATTCCAGAGGGTTTCACCCCCTTTTCTCTCACTCACCTACCCAAAGGGTTTCATCTCCTTCTCATTCACCTATTCCAGAGGGTTTCACCCCCTTTTCTCTCACTCACCTACCCAAAGGGTTTCATCTCCTTCTCATTCACCTATTCCAGAGGGTTTCACCCCCTTTTCTCTCACTCACCTACCCAAAGGGTTTCATCTCCTTCTCATTCACCTATTCCAGAGGGTTTCACCCCCTTTTCTCTCACTCACCTACCCAAAGGGTTTCATCCCCTTCTCATTCACCTATTCCAGAGGGTTTCACCCCCTTCCCTCTCACTCACCTACCCAAAGGATTTCATCCCCTTATCTCTCACTTACCTACCCAAGGGGTTTCAGTCCCCTTCCCCTAATGACATTCAGCCCCTTTCTTTCTCGCACACCCAACCGAGGGGTTTTTGCCCCCTTCCCTCTCACTCACCCACCCCAAGGGGATTCAGCCCCCTTCCCTCTCAACCACCCAACCGAAAAGCTTCGGTCCGCGTCCCTGCCACTCACCCACCCAAGGGGATTCGGACCCCACTCACCCACCCAAGGGGTTTCAGGCCCCACTCACCCACCCAAGGGGTTTCAGGCCCCACTCACCCACCCAAGGGGTTTCAGGCCCCACTCACCCATCCAAGGGGTTTCAGGCCCCACTCTCCCACCCAAGGGGATTCAGCCCCCACACTCCCACCCCAGCGGTTTCAGCACCCCCCTATACCCAGCCCCTCCCCACCACTATCTGCCAGCAGTAGGCACAGCAGACAGCCCATTGCCTCAGGAAAACCATGCCATCTCACCAAATACTCAGATACTCCCGGCATTCAATCTCACCACTCACTCAAAATAACCACTATTGCCACAGTCTCACTAATCCCACCACACACTATCACCAGTACCACCACGCACTCCCACCCCTCGCACCACTCACTGTCGTACCACTCACCGTTACCACTATCACCACTCTCACCACTCACTGTTACTACTCTGACCACACACATCACTCACTCTCATCATTCGCTTTCGACCCGCACACCAACATACTATTACCACTCTCAACACCCACTCTCACCATTTGCAGCACTCCCACCACCCACTCATCCCACACTGTATCACACCACACTGTATCATACCACCCAGTATAATATAGCATACTGCATCATGAATCACTGCCTCTTACAACACTGTATTATACCCCACTGACTTACCATACCACTCTGTATACTACCAGACTGTATCAGACCACGCTGTGTCATACAATACTATATCATACCACACAGTATCATACCACATTGTGTCATAACATACTATATCAAACCAACACACTGCATCATACCACACTGCATCATACCACACTTCGTAGTACCAGACTGTATCAGACCGCACTGAATATACCACACTCCATACCACCCTCTTTCATACACACACCATATCATACCACGATAAATCATACCCCAGTTTCATACCACACTGTATCGTACCACACTGTATCATACAACACTGCCTGCATCAAACCACACTGTGTTATATTACACTGTAGCATACCACACGGTATCATACCACACTGTATCATACCACAGTGTATCATATCACACTCTATCATACCACACAATATCACACCACCCACCACACACCACCACCCCTTGCCCAAATGCCCAGCCCCTTCCCCACCTTAACTTGACCCGCAGTAGGAGCAGCAGACAGCCCAATTCCTTTTGGAAACAGCACACCCAAAGGCTGTGCCTTGCAGTGCGAGGAGTGGTAGTGGAAAATTGCTTCCAGCCCAAGACTCAAATCCCACCCCTGACGTAGCCAGAGCTGACGCGAACCAGAGCCGCCGGCCGGTCGGCTAAGACGGGGTCCATTGGGCCTTGAACGCCAGATCGGTTATTTGAGCACCGAGTGCCGTGCCGCACAGATTCCACCCACCACACCCCGACACACAAGCCACAACCCCAGAGGATGCTGCCCCTAAGGCAGTGAGCTGCCCACTTGCTCCCATGCTCCCCACCCACCCTCATCCCTTCACCCCATGCCTCCTTACCTGTACCTACCATAGCCGTTCAGAGCGCCATGATGCCAAGGCTGCTGGGAAGTGGGAGGAGGAGGAAGGGAAGGGCGGGGGGAGATTAGAGAAGGAATGCCTCTGTATCGCCCTTGCTCCAGTGCTCCCTCCCTCCTTCAGACTACTAGAAGGGGAGGGGGGGAGAAAGAGAGAGGAGGGAATCAGACAACGCACCTGTTACCATACCTCACTGGATACCATACCTCACCTGATACCATACCTCACCTGATACCATACCTCACTAGTGACTCGACCTAACCTAGTCTGCCCCCTAGCCCCCCAACCCCCACTGCTGCTGCTGCTCCAAGTGCTGCTGCCGGTCTGCTACTCAGCTTCATCTGCTACAGTCTTCACTCCACGCCAAGTGACCTGGTGGGGGGGGGAAGAAAGGGGCAAGTGAAAGTAATCGAGTCGGGATGACCAGAGGAAGAGCAAATAAGAAGGCAGAACTGAAGAGCAGAAAGGGAGCGAGATGAGGGCAATAGTTGAGGTGGCGTACCTTGAGAGGCCAAGCCCACCCCGATACTCTCCCTTGGTGCAGCGATTGGCAGTGCTGCCTCCCTCCCATCCCCACGGGTACCTGCACGGCCACGGGGGAGGGGCGTGGGGAAGCATCGGTGTTGACCCCCGCCCCTCCCCTCCACCTGCAAGGCACACACGCAGAGCTGGTGAGTGGGCAGCGAGGGGATGAATGGTGAAAGTGCAAGAGAGGGAACGGCATTTGCAAGGCGGGAGAGGGGAGGGGCCACTGGTGGAGGCCAAGTCACAAACTGCAGACCCAAGGGCTGCACCAGGTACCTGCACACTTGCACCTGAGGGGGTACCTGCACCTGAGAGGGTTACCTGAAGTAAGGGGGTCTGCAGCATGTGAGCCGGTCCCAACCAGTGGCGCTGTTTCAAGAGGAAGGTGCGAAAGCGCATGCAAACACGAGATGCAAGCAAAGTACACAAGACATGGCGAGGCAGGCAAGGGGTTGAGGGAA